GAGCCAAGCATGTTCATTTTTCAAAAGTCAAAAGATGTTTTAAAGGGTCATTCAAGATAAATTGAAACTGCACACCTGCTTTTGGTTCTGGCAGGTGGTAAAATGAAAAGTTCTCCTTAGCCCAGCATAGTTCTTCACTTCATGGGACACCAAATGCCCTTACACATTTCTCCACCTCCATTTCAGATCGAAATTGGCATTCCAGCCCAAGGTGAACCCCAGGCAGCACCATGACAGGTATTGTCTTGATGTTCAGAATTGTTGGCAAAGGATGTAGCTGGAGCCCAGGTGATCTGTCAGATGTTGAGATGTTAGATGCACAGTTTTGATGCAGCAAGCATGTCTCCTGTCTCCTGACTGCCTCCAGTTTTACGCATCCAACGTACAGTATTAAGATCCCTGAAAAGTACAGCTGAAGGATATAGACGGGTATATTTTACAGAGTTATTAACCAGAATTTCCAGGCGTGATGTTATTGGGCTCATAATTCTATAAATAGAAGATTTTTTTTAAAAAAAAGCACATCTGCTTGCGTAACTGGCAGCCCATAATGTAACCTTGGCAAAAAATTGGACAGTTTAAGGCTACTTTTGAATGTAATTAGAAATGGACAAACACAGAACAGATGTAGATTAGGAATTTTTCAAATCTATATATGGGAGATGCTTTTAAGATTTTACTTGCTTCCAGGAAACTTGTGCTGAGAGTAATATGTAGGCTGACACTGCTGTCCTTGATTCTAAAAATGCCAGTTGCTTGGCATTCATGCCGACCCACTGCTTACTTTCTGCTTGTCCCAGAAGGCTGCGTGTCTTATCAAACATGAGACTTTGTTAAACGTCTTGCAGTGTATAGTGATTATACAACTGACCTGGAGGTCTTAAAAAGAGGAGTTACACTTTAAAGAGAATCAGTCATCACTAGTATTATGCATTATGTATTATGTTGTGTGCATGACAAGATCAAAGTGTTTCCCATCGACTTCCTATTATTATATAGCAGGAATTGTGGACCTATATTGCAATAGTAACAGTCTTGCTGGGATAGATAAACAATGAATATTAAATACCTATTTTGTTTACTGCAAAGAAAATTGCACAGGGTTCTATTAAAGTGACACTAAACTCAGGAGTTAAATTGAAAAAATGCATTCAAGTACCTTAACTATTAACAAAAATGTATCTTATTTGTGCATCACTCAGCTGTAGATTCTCAAATCATCTCTGAATTGGTGCTGACACTGTCCTTCCTTCTGGAGGGGGGCTACTTTTGCTTCCCATGGTCCCTGTGTGTGTTGTAAAGTAGCCACTGCTCCAAGCTCACTCCTGTGATGGACTACAATTTCAATACAAATTAGTAAACTAAATGTGAGATTTTAGTCTATCACAGGAGTGAGCTTGGAGAGGTGGCTACCTTACAACACACACATGGACCATAGGGAACAAAAGTAGCCACCCTCCAGAACAAAGCCAGCTCCTTTTGTGCCCGGAGGCAAGAACAGAAAATTGTACCCCACCCAGGTTATTTTGAGAAAAGTAAATAAATAACAAGAAAATTAATGATATTAGAACTATTTATGGGGTGATAGGGACAGAGCAGGGGGAGTAAAAGGGATTTTAAGGGGTTGATGGGGACAGAGCATGGGGACATGGAGTGATAAGGACAAAGAGGACAAAGCAGGAGAGTAAAATTGATTTTTAAGGGGTGATGGGGACAGAGCATGGGAACATGAGGTTATAGGGATAGAGAAGGAGAGAAAAGGAGATTTTTAAGGGGGTGATGCGGACAGAGCAGAAATCATTTGAAGATGGGGACAGAGGAAAGAGAAGTAAAAGGGATTTTTTAAGGGGTGACGGGGATAGAGCAGGTTATGGCAGAAAACACTCCCAATGCGTTAGCATTGACGTTCCTCTTGTGATCCAGGTCAGTGCATTTGTACTTATATATGTTTGCCAAACATCAAACAATTCCGTGAATTTAAGTGCTAACTACACGTACAGGATACCAATTGCTTATTTCAAGAGGGGATAGAGCAGGTTATGGCAGAAAATTCTGCCAATTACATATTTAGTTAATTCCCAGGTCTTCTTCATCTCCAAGTCTTTCTTGCTATCTCTCAGCACTTTTTAGCTCCGTGTGCGGGGTATAGTGGGAGGGGTCATGTGAGGGTCAAAGGTGTGATGCTTAATTGGCTGGTGCAAGTTTTCAGCTGGCTTTAAGTAGCATTAGCTGACAGCCAATTGCCGGCTGGGGAGTCCGCGCATCTGCCAATAAGCGCGGTAATCAGCACTGCAGCCACCCTCGACTCCTCCCCTCCTGGGAACCAGCCAATAAGCAGCAGAGCTGCACGTGAATGAGATGGTAATGTGAGGAGATCAGCACTGTATCTAAATCCCAAATCCCAAAGCAAAGCATCTGCTCACCTCTTATCCTCGCTGTGCACCAGGTCCAGCAGGTCCAGGTTCGGCCATGGTTGCACCCCCTTGCAGCTGTGCCCGAGGTGAGTGCCTCACCCTTCCCATGGCCCTGTTCTAGAAGGAAGGACAGTGTCAGCACCAATTCAGAGATAATTTGAGGATCTACATCTAAGTGATGCACAAATAAGATGCTGCACATTTTTTGTTTATAGTTAAAGTAGTTTAATGTATTTTTAATTTTTAACTCCTGAGATAAGTGTTACTTTATTGTACCTGAACCTAAAGCTTTATATCGTGTCTAGAGCCATAGATTACCTGAAATGTGAAAGCTGCTGCCCTGTCATTTGCCTCACACACTGTTTCCTGACTGTGAAGTTTATGACCTTAGGCAGATGACAGGACAGCGACTGTCAAACTTCAGGTGACACCTGATCCCCTTATCAAACTAAAGCATCAGAGTCAGGCAGATGAAGTCATGATATTTAGGGCAACTGGTGGCCATCTGAAAATTAAACAATCAGCAACTCTTTTACTAAGATAAGCCCAATGAACCACATAGAGGTGGTTACTGTTTTCAGTCAGAAAAACAAATTGCCAGATTTTCACTGAGAGAAAGGAACAGGAATGCACGATCACTGTGAAATTCTGCTGGTCTGGGAGCAGAGCAGAACCTACATATCTATCTTATCATATTTTACAACCTCAACATAGAAACATGGATTAGCTACAGTAAACATATTTCACACGTGTCTTAAAACTCTACTATGGATTACTTTGAGTTGAGACTAGAAATGTGAGATTAATTTCTGAGCTGAAATTTGGACGCATTTATGGAAATATAGACGAATTGTCGGTAATTCAGACATTCAGATGCATCCAAATTTCCAAAAGGCAGATATAACGAATCTGAACGAATCCGAATGTCCTATAACGAAAATTTCGGATGCATCTGAATTTATTTCTAATGCACTGTTATTGTTAAACATCAACGGGTGGAGTTCCGCCCCAATTGATACCAGATCCTTTAGGTTTGGAAGAAATTTTAGAACGGAAAAAAGCATAGGGTTCCCCCTAAAAGTCATAACAGACATTTTAGTTTTGGTAGGGATTTTAAGGAGGACCCCAACGCCGAGTGAAGGGAAAAAACAGTGACCCCCGAAAATTCCAAACCAGACCCTTAATCCGGGCACTGGCTCGGAAGGGCAGGAAAGTGGGGGAACTAGCGAGCACACACCCGACCTGCGCCGTACTAGGCCACATTTAATAGGTAAAAAAACGGCACATGTAAGGGGATCCATCCAGTACTTTATTTGTAAAAAAAGGCATGTGTAGCAAACAAAGAAATGCTTACATGTTTCAGCCCTCAAACTGGGCCTTCGTCGTAAGCACGACAAAGGCCCAGTTTGGGGGCTGAAAACATGTAAGCATTTGTTTGTTTGCTAATGTTATGCCTTTTTACAAATAGTACTGGATGGACGGATCCCCTTTTGAGGATTTTTACCAGATTTTTACCTATTGCTCAGTGAAGGCTCCGGTACGGCCCGCAACCGGGTGCCACCATTGGAGGGGTGACACCAAAATGACTGACAGTCATTTTGGTGTCACCCCCTATGAAAGTCGAGCACTTGGTCATGGACCGAGAGCCCGACAGTGTCAGGAGAGAGGAGGGGACATCCCCTCCTCTCTCTGCCGGCGTCCTTCACCAAGCTGGCCGCCGGCAGGCGTCAATACGACGTCACGCGCATGCACAATGGGGGGTTGGAGACAAGAGGGTAGAGCTGCTCAATGTTTCTAACCAGGCCTCATGCCCTTGACATGGGGAGAGGGCTTTGTCAGGGAGGACTCCCACAAAAGCACCTTGTCTCCATGGCGATAAGAACAAAGGCCTCTTCCCCACAACCCTGGCCCAGTCGTTGTGGGGGTCTGTGGGCATGGGAACTTATTTGCATCTGGGAATCCCCTTTTATAAAAGTGCCACCCAGATGCCA